AGGCACAGCCCGGTGCGAGCGGCAGAGCCCCGGTGTCCCCTCCACGGTGCACTGCGGGAAGCACAAAGCACAGCCCCTGATTCAATCCCTTGGCATCCCAAGGGTGATTGGGAGCGGGACTGTGGAGAGAGCTTGCGCCAAACACCCCTCAGGTGAGGAGCAGGGAGGAGGAACAGTTTCCCTGTCCAAGGCCAGGGCAGTGAAGCAAGGAGTGCCCTGGCACTGAGGGAGCCGCTTCCCTTTCATGCCTTTCATGATCCGTGTTAATCTTTAGTTGCTCAGAACAATAGTGTTTCAGGGTAACCTCCGGGAGTGGGGAGGAGGAGTGTGGCTGCTTCCTGCCGTCCCAAGGCAGAGCCACCCCAGAGCAGAGCATTCCTTCACCCATGAATCAGCCAGCAGCAGGTCAAAGCCCCTCTGCTATCGGGGTCACTGGTGGGGAGGGAGCAGCTCCCCCAGCCCCTTCCTGCCCCATTGCTAATCCCTCACCTCGCGGTTCAGCAGGTCTGCAACACTTCCACAACTGATACCCACCGCTTCCCTTCCCCCAGCTCCTCCTGGGAATACTCCAGCACTACAGCTAGTGGGGAAAGAGCTGCTTCAGAAATGCTCCCTGTAACGTCGAGGTGGGACCGTGCCTTCAGCCGGGTACACAACAAAGGAGAGGAGCTCCAGCAAAGGCCTTGGAGCACCGCTCAGCCTGCTGCTCCCGGGGTAAAACCACATCAGAGATCACACAGGAGCTCCATCAGCTGCAGCACCCCAAAACCCCACCGAAAGCTGCAGCTTCCACAGGGGAAAAGAGCCCGTTGCTCCCTGTGCTTGTGCTGTGGTGGGACACCCAACTGGTTCTGAAGCGGCAGAGAGCCCAGGCAGCGCGCAGGGGGATGCAGAGCCTGCTTCAGAGAGCAGCGGGGTGATGGGGAAGCCTGACATTAGCAGGAGCAGCTGTGAACACAGAGCAGCACCAAACACTCTGTTAATTATTTCACAGGTCTTTTTTTACATGACACTCCATCCTCCGGATTAAAGAACCTCGGAGTGCTTTACAAATCCCAGTTCCCAGCGGCTCCCCTGGGAGGGAAGGAAACACAATCCCTTCTGCTGGAAGAGCACGGGGTTAAGTGGGCTGCTCTGAGGCTCGGACGGGCTCTGGGGCTTTGCTTCGCAGGCCCTCGCTCTGATCACAGATCTAAGGGACGGAATCAAACTGCACCGCGCAGCCAGAGGCAGCGAGGAAAAAGCAGGGCAGGGCCCCAGCGAAGGAGAACCGAGCGAGCAGGGCGAGGAGCAGAGCTCTGAAACTCGCCTCCAGCAGCAGGAATGCTGCTGCGGGCCGGGCAGGAAGCTGCAGTGGAAGTCATTCCAATGGCATTTCCTGGAGAGCGCTGCAGAAAAGCCTCCCAGGTCGCAGGCAGGGTGAGGAGCTGCCAGGGATCTGCAGGCTCAGGCCAGAGCAGCCTCCAGTGAGGACAGAGCTACCTGGGAGAGCCGTGCCAGGGGCCAGCACGAGCCAAGGCCCTGCCAGTTCCCATGGCCAGGGAGGGATCCCCGGTCCTGCAATGGGACAAGGCTGGCAGGAGGACAGTGCTCTTTTCATCCCAAGCAGGTGATGACAATGGGGGCATCATCCCAGCTGCAAGGATCCAGGCTGTAAGCTTGGGGCACAACAGCAGCACAATTCAAACCTGTGCTCAGCCCGCACTGCCCAAAAAGCTTGGACTGAGATGATGCGAGGATCCTGGAGCACCTGGGGTCACCCAGGTAATGTGGTGGCTGCAGGGAAGGCTTGTGCGGGATACCTGGGCAGAGAAGAGAGCTGAGAACCAAAGGCTGGCTCTCAACCTGAAACCATTGAGGAGGCTGGAGCAGGAACCCAGGATGCAATCCCAGCTGTGCTGTCGTATGACACAGGCTGAGTCATTTCCTATCATTCAAGAAGAAAATGTAAAAGATACAAAATCTTAGAACAGTTTGGGTTGGAAAGGCCCAGTTTGTCGGGATTCAGATGTCACACACCGGTGACAAAGATGCTGTTTGCTCTCCGCCCCAGCCTGACACTGCCCCTTCATGCTGGTCCCCATCATATTCATGGAAACAGGAAGCCTCTTGCCTCTGGGTCCACAGACCCACCTCTCAGACTCACAGAACACCCTCTTTCAAGCCCACTCTGATTTAGCCTCGAAGGAGAAGCTCTCATCCCCCGGAGGGGCACAGCCAGGCAGCAGCTACTGCTCACTTCCCTCTCACACAGATTAAGCACGGTCAGTACCTCTGTGCCTGCCGGGCTCCCTCCCCACCAGATTTTCTCCCCTCCTGATTCCCCATCCCCGCTGGGATCAATGTTTGAACTTCACAGCCAACGGGACCTGGTCCTGGCCAAAGCAGCTGCCCCAGAAAAGCCTCCTCTTTGGTGCTGATGGCTCACGGAGGCAGCAGCTCCCTTCTGGCCGTTATTAAATGCCCCCCTCGGGTTGTTCTTGGTTGTTTTCTCAGTGCCAGATTGCAGAGGAGGCAACCCAAGAGCCAGCAAACGTGACAAAAACACACCCACGTTCACCCCACAGCCAGATTTACCATTTCCCCCTCGCCTCAAAGCAGCCTTTACAAGAGAAGCGCTGCAGCCCTGCACACAACAGCCTCACCAGGCCCCTCCAAAGGCAACCTGCATCCCGCTGCCATCCTACGCTCGCCTTTGTTCCTCTGGTGGGGAATGAAAGCGCTTCCTACGCAGCCAGGCTGTGCAACACTCGGGATGCAGCCGTGCTCCTTCCCTCTCTCCGTGGGGCTTTCCAGGAAGAGCAATGCTGCAGCGCTGCAGAGCACAAACCAAGGGCCTGCCACAACTTGCATCCCTCTCCCAGGCCCTGCCTGCTGCACCTCTGGGGAGAGCTTTGTTTGCGTGGGACAGGCTCGAACAGCTCCAGGCACCAAACAGGCTCCCTGTGCAAACAGGGTGGCAGGAGAGGGACCCTCCATCACAGCGAGTGCAGGGTGGCACTTGCAGGGAGAGCTGGCAGCAGGCCACCGCTTTTGTGCCTGCAGCTGGAGGCGAGGGAGAGCAAAGGGAAGCATCCCCACGCGTGAGGCACTCGGGAGCCCTTATATGAGATAGATATCCCTTAGACCCACTGCTGCTGCACTGTCCTTCATGTGGAGTGGCACAGCTGCCCCCAAAAGGGCACGGGGAAACCTCAGCCCAGAGGAAAGCCACTGAGACATCAAACAAGCTGCCCAGTGCTGGGGTTTTATGGTGGTGGGGTGGATTCTCCCCACTACAGCCTTCACCACCCCGTCCACGTCCCCTTCAGGCACCAGCAGAGCCTGAGCAGCGCAGTCAGAAGCCCCGTTCAAGGTTAGAAGAAGGGAGCAAGGTTGTTCCCTTGGGTGGGAAAGAGAGGGAACGGCGAGCTTCAAAGGCAGCGCTGGTGGGAGGGTCAGAGCAAGAGGAGTCCTGACCCCTCCGCAATCCGGTGAGCAAATATTTGCTGCAAACGATTAATTTAGAGACAGACACACAAAAAATGGACGAGCCTGGCGGGGGGTGGGGAGGCGGGAGGAGGGGCTCCGTTCCCTGAGCGCAGGAGCAGGGATTTTCCACCAGTGATTTAATCTAAATCCCCCCCCCCCCGCCCCGAGAGTTCATTTACAAAAAATCCGATTGCATTAAGGCCGGGTCTCCAGGATACAGCCCAATCCGTCACCACCAGCAACAGCCTCCCTCGGAAACCTCCATCTCAGCGCTCAATGCCAAGCCGAAGCTGTGCCTTTAAAAGCCAAAACCAGAAGGGAGGGGGAAGGAACTCAGCATTTGGCCAGGGGGATGTGCAGGATGAGGCCACAGAGAGCCCGATGAAATGGGCACCACATCCCATTATTAATCGAAACTCCTCTGCCTGGGCAGCCCCACCCAGGCAGTGCCCCAGGGCAGTCACATTCCTGGAATTCCTGCACCCTGGATGCACAGCTTCCTTCTCCCTGGGTGCTCCCTTTCCATGGGTGCTCCCTTCTCCAGGGGTCCCCAGCATGGCCAGCCGGGTGCAAGGAGCTGGGAGCTCTCTGGGGCTCCTGCACCTCTCCTCTATCAGGAGGGTGCAGAGCTCCAAGGTTCCTGCCCCTTCCCGAGGTGCAGAGGCCTGCTGATGGATGAGGAGGGCTGAAGGCCTCAGCTCACCAGCGAGGCAGTTCCCTGCCTGACAGCCTGAACTCTCCCCAGTGGGCGCCGATAAAGGTTACAGCAGCAGGGAATCGCTGAGATGCAGCAGCACAAGGAAAACTGAAGACATCTGTAGGTCACAGACCTCCCGTTCCCAGCAGCACGGCACAGCCGGACCTGGCATCCCAGGAATGCTTCCTGGAGAAATGCTTATTCATGGTAATACCTCACCACCGGGAGGGAGCTGCGGGGTTTGCTGCTGGGGCAGCTGGGAGCATCGCTCCCTGCCAAGCAGGGAAGCAGCTGCAGGTCCAGCAGCTCCCCAGGGTGGAGGCTGTCCCCACCTCAGGCCCCAGCAGCCACCAGCCTCCCCCAGGAAGTGCTGGGGGGTCCCTTCCGTGTGAGCATGGCAAAACCCAAAGTCTTGTCTCCAGAATGAAGTCGCTGTTGCCTCAACAAATCACACACAGAGTGCCCGGAGAGGAAGAAGCTCCACTCCCTGCTCTTAAATGACACCAGGAACATGCCCAAGAGCTCCTGCTTGAAGAACAAGCTTGGGTGACATGAGGTTCCCAGAGGCTCCTGGAGAACAGGTCTTTTACGTAACATACAGTGAGGAAGGGGAAGAAACAGGGATGGAGAAGGACACATCTGAGCATAAACTATGCCACTGCAGCGGACTGACCCTCTTGGGGCAGAGTGGTAAGAGCACAGAGGGAAAGGCCAGGCGCCCCTTGATGTCCCTCCAAGGTCTAGGACATGAGCTAACACAAACACTGCTGGTCTGACCAGCACCACTACCAGCCCGGAGCGAGGGAGGACACAGGCAGGGAGGAGATCTTACCCATCCGCCATTCTCCTGGATCCAGGGATCTAGGTGGTCGGTCAAGTAGGTGGTCATCCAAGACACAATGCGTCCCACCAATACCCGCATCTCCTTGTCAACGCTCTCCACACACAAGGCTCCTCCGAAGGAGAAGAAAGCCACGATGCGCCCCCAGTTCACCCCATCGCGGAAGAGTTCGTTCACGACCTGCTCAAAGCTCTGGTACGCAGTGCCGGGGGTGATGTGGAGCTGGGACGTGAGGTCGCTGAACGCCCGCCGGTACCGCAGCTCAAACTCATCCCCCGCCTCTCTCAGCGCCCGCCTCACGTCGGCCGCCTGAACCCCGGTGTGGACCTGGAGGCTGCTCCGGTGCACGGCGGCTCCGTTCACTACGTGGCTGGCGGGCGGGTGCCAGGAGGGGCTCCCGTTGAGGACGCCGTCCATCTCCACCTCCTCGGCTGCAAAGTCAGTCCTGGTCTCATCCTCCTCCTCCAGCTGGCTCCAGCTGTGGCCCTTCTGCGAGAGCTTGTAGGACACAAAGTCAATCACTAACGCCCGGTTGCTGCTGGACATTTTCACACCTGGGGCGCCCTCAATGAGTCCATGGTCCGGAGCACGCACAGATCAGCACTCAGCAGCTCCCGACCCCGCTCTTCTTCTGCACCGCCGATGGGAGCATCTGACCTTTGCACGCAGAGCAGAGGAGAGAGGCAAAGAAACGGTTAATGCCATGGCTCCGAGATGCACCGGGCCGCTAATGCGGGCAGCTCATCGTTAAACCGAGCTCCTTTCTGCCGTGACTCAGGGCCACCGGATCGGAGCTGCAGCAAGGACAGGCTGCCATCCCCCCCCCCGCCCCTTCCCTTCCCGGGAAACCAACCTGGACCCCAGGGAACCCCCGGATCTCACCGGCTGCGGGCAGGCGGCTGCGGGCCGGGCCGGGCCGGGCCGGGCTACGGGAGGCGGCTCTGGCGCTGCGGTGGCTGCGGGCCGGCCCGGCCGCGCTCCGCCAGTCCCGGAGCGCAGCGGAGGCGGAGGCAGCCCCGCCCCCGGCCCCGCCCGTTAAAGGGCTCGGCTCCCCCCGCCCCTCTCCGCCGGCGTTGCCCAACGGCGGCCGGCGGAAGCGGGCAAGCGGCGTTGCCAAGGGTTACGGCAGCCCCGAGAGGGGCCCGGTGTGCCGGTAACCGCGGCGTCACCCTCGCACCCCCTGCACCGGGCACAGCCCTTCCCACCCCCGAAGCCCCTCGCTCGGCCGCAAACCGGCGAGTCCGCGGCCGCCAGGGCCGGCCTCACGGGGCACGTTCAGCGTGGGGCCGCCGCTGCCGCCCGGCTCTTACGGGAGCGGTTCCGGTCGCTCGCTGCCGTTCGGGCGGGACCGGGGCGAGAGGCGGCAGGGGGCGGCCAGCAGGGGGCAGCCTCCCCCGTCCCGGTGCCGTCCCCGCCCTCGCGGCCGCCGTACCGGGGCGGGGCGGTGAGAACGGGGCCCGCCCCTCACCGCCAACCAATCAGCAGCCGGGAGAGCCCCGCGGGGCGGGGCCTGGAAGCGAGCTCTCCCATTGGCAGAGCCGCGCGTCGCTCAGGGCCTGCCCCCCTCCTCCCCTCACCTCACGGCCGAGCGGAGGCTCCGGATCGCTCCCGCCCCTACCCCGCGGGCCCGGTTGGCAGCTCCGCCGTGGGCCGCCGGGCCTCGGCCCGCTCAGCAGCCCCCGGGCTGCTTCCACATCGCCCGCAGCGCCGCTGGGCCGCGCCGGGGGGGTGCGGTAGGGTGGGAGAGGGCAGGAGGCGGAGGGGCGCATGCGCCGAGCGGCCGATGTCAGTGCGCAGGCACGGGGCGGAGGGCGGTGCTTTGTCGCCCCCTGTTGGCCCCGCCGGCCCGCGGCGGCCCCGGTGGCTCCAGCCCCCGCCGGTACCACACCGCACGGGCACGGTAGAGCCCGCGGCCGCCTGTCCCCTCACAGCAGCCTGGCTTTCTCTGTGTGATCGCTGTTGTGTCTCCAGAGTGCTGCGGGAGACCGCGGCCACCCTGTGGGTGATGCCGCTGCTGCAGGCGGAGTACCGGGGAGCGCAGCCAGTTGCCCCGGTAACCACGTGCAGTACAGCCGTGCACCGGCCACCCGCCCCGCCAGCCCTGCTGGGGGACCCGCCTACCGGCAGCTGATAGGCCTCACCCAACACCATTCAGCCCGTTGCCTCGCCTGATTGGTTGGGCCGTACTACGCAGTGCCTTATGGGAGTTGCTGTTTACGTCTCGCCTCCCCCCTGTGGCACCCTACGCTTGGGAACTACATTTCCCATCAGCCTTTGCGGGCAGCCGACTTCGTACAAGGTTTGGTTTGCTCATCCGGGTTCTTTGGCCTCTCGGCGGCCCTTCCAATCGGCACGCACCGAGGGCGTTCCCGAGGCGTTGATTGGGCGGTTCGGAACAACGAGCCCCGTTTGAAATCCGTTAACGGCGGCGGGTGGAGGTGGCGTGCGGGGCGGCCGCTGCACGGAGGTAAGGGGGGAGCGGCCGGGGGTCACCGGGCGGCTTCCTTTGTCCGTGCTGCGTGGGCACGGTTTTGCTCCTCCTTCCCTAGCCGGTGTTGCCGTTACCGAGCGGTGGCCGCGGCCCGCTCCCGGCTATCCGGTAACGCGGCTCCGCTGGGAAGCGGAGGCCCAAAGCAGGTCGGGGCTCTGGGCCCTTGTCCGGAGCCGGTGGGTGTCGGGCGGGTCGCGCCGGAGCTCCGTGGGGCCGGGGGTGGCAGGGCTGAGCTGGGCACGGAGCTTGCCGTGCTGACCCGCTCCGGGCTGCCCGCTCGGCTCTGTCATCGGCCGCTGCTCGAAGCCTGCAGGAGTTCGTGTCTCCGGTTTGGATCGAGGCTCAACCGACGTGGCTTCTGCTCCAAGTAAATCCTGCTCCTCGGGAAAGGAGGGAAGCAACCCGGGCAAAACCCGGCTTAAGTGACAGGAAGGGTATTAAGGAAGTTATTTTTATCCAGTGCGTTTTTAATACTAGAGGAGCCTCAGCTTAACCTAACAATGAGTTGAGGTTATACCGGCTAAAAATAACGTGCTTTTCCTTGAACAGCTATTCTTAGGCCGCCCCTCTTCCTGTCTTCTGAGGCTTGCGGGACCTCCTTTATGGAGTGCGAGGCGTCAGCCTGGGTTATTCTGGGCTCTTGGAAAGGACGTGGGGCTGGGCCCAGAGCAGAGCAAAAGCTGCTGCAGGGGAAGCTCAGCTCCAGCCTCTCACCCCTTGTACCGTGGGCAAGCTCTCTGCGTGCTCACCTCTTGCCTGCGTAGAGGCAAAGGCTTTGTCTCCCGGTGTGAGTGTCGTGGTGGAGCAGCAGGGCTGCCTCTGGCCTGTACCCCGGGGGATGTGCTATGGAAAAGCAGGTGAAAGCATTGAGGGAGGGGAAGGGGAAGCTGGAAATCACTTAACCCGTGGAAGAGCAGGGATGAGGCCTTTTAGTGGCTGCTGGTGTTGTGCTGGAGCAGTTCAAGGGACAGCTTTGGGGTGGGAGCTTCCCACCAGACTGTGGTGGCAGGGCTGTACCTATGGAGAGGCTGTTTCCAGGCCTTTGCAATGGTCCCGTTCCCATATCAACCACTGAAAAGCACCTGGGACCTCTGGGTTATTGTCCCTATGAAGGGGAGGGGAAAGCTTTGGGCTGCAGGACAATCAAGAGCCTTCCAGGAAGAATTAAACTGGTTGCAGCTGGTGTTGAGCACCCAGCAGAAGGCACTGGAGTTACTGCAGCACGCTGCTAAGCAGCTTTCTTAGCCTTTGGGAAACGTCTCTTGCTTGTTCCCAATTGTCCATCTCGGGTTTTGAGGCCTGAGCTTCACCTGGCTTCAGATTCATCTGCTGCAGTAACTCGGGATACGCGGTTGTGTCTGTTACAATGCACTTGGTGCAGTTTGACGTGCTGGTGCTGCACAGGTCTGGTTGGAGTCCTCCTCCCCAGCCTTGGGTGGCAGAAGTGTTTTGGGCAATAAATTAACAGCTACATTGAGCCCACGATGCTGAGTGCATCCATGATGGAATCGTGTTGGCATTTCAAAGCTAATATGGATTACAGTGAGGTGTGAAGTTATTCTGAAATACCTGTTGCACTTGCCATTGGATCAGTCTTATTCTGGGATGGGAATGCTTGTTCCAATTTAGCTTAATCCTTTTCAAAGCTAGCTAATGTAAAGCAGGCCAAGGCACTCCTGGAACGTGTCAAAGTGGGGCTGCTCAGAAGAAACCTGATGTGCAGAGGAGCCCTTCATCAGTCCCTCCGTGGGGACACGGCTGCGCTGCTCGTGTGGGGCTACGAGAGGAACCCTGGAAGAACATGAAGGTTTTAATCGTCCTCCTCCTCCTTCTTCCCCAGCACCAGCGGGGTGTGAGCAGCTCTTGTGAACCAGGAGAAAGCTGATCCTGTGCAGCAGGGGTGAGGGTTCCCTGCCTGGCTCCCTGTGACGCTCTGTGGACCCTCGTGTCAACAGGGAGGGTGATGGATGTGGGGAGAGCAGGGTGGTGCTTGAAATCCACACTGGAGCTATGTGGGGTTACAGTGTGTAACCAGGGTGGTGAATGCACACAGTGCCTGCTCATTAGCAAATGTCCTTATTAGTGAGGGGAAGTTTCTGCACCTCACTTCTGGTGGAAAAGTGCCCCAGCGTGGAGAGGGAATTTTGTCTCCTGCCTTTAAGAAGAGGCCTTGTGGATCAGGGGGCTGGAGGCGGGCTGAGAAAGCTGGGCTTCTTCAGCCTGGAGAAGAGAAGCTGTGTGGAGACCTCATAGAAGCCTCCCAGTATCTGAACAGCGTTACAAGGATGCTGAAGAAGGACTTTTCATCAGGGACTGTAGTGATAGGCCAAGGAGAATGGCTTTAACCTGCCAGAGGGCAGACTGAGCTGAGCTCTTAGGCAGAAGCTCTTCCCTGTGAGGGTGCTGAGGCCCTGGCACAGGGTGCCCAGAGAAGCTGTGGCTGCCCCATCCCTGGCAGTGCTCAAGGCCAGGTTGGACACAGGGGCTTGGAGCAAGCTGCTCCAGTGGAAGGGGTCCCTGCCCGTGGCAGGGGTTGGAGCTGGGGGAGCTTTAAGGTCCCTCCCGACCTAAACCATCCCTTGATTCTACGGCCGTGCCTCCAGGGGCTGGGCAGCAGCTCCGTGGCGCCTGTTGGGATCTCGGGAGCGTTTGCAGTGGACACATCGCAGCGATAAATCACTGGAACGTTCCCAGCTGCCAGGAGCCGTGTCCCAGGCTGAGCCCATGGCTGCAGGAGTGAGATGCCTCCCGGTGCACTGCGGCTCCTCCTGTTCCGCGCAGCACGCAGGGATACGGAGGGATTTGAGGAGCGGATGCCGTGAGCTCATCTGACTGCCATGGACCCCCGGGAGCTCAGGCAGAACTCTCACCTCCCACTGGCTCTTTCCAGAGCATGAAACCATAGCACTAATGCATTCCTATTCTTTCCATGACTTTTCACTTCTGCATGGGATGGAGGGAGGGGAGGGCCGGGTCCTGCCGCTGGGACACAACATGGACTTTGCGCAGTGAAAAGCTGGAGGCAGCAGCAGTGGACACAAGTAGCTGTGAAACACGATTCCCAAAGCCCGGCTCTGGGCACTGGGAGGGCGAGGGAGGAATGCAGATGACGCATTTGATTTTGAAAAAGTGGATAGTGCTGACAGAAACCTTATCTTGATGAAGGGCAGTAGGAAAGCATTCGGTCCCAGCCCTGTCTCCAGCTCTGTTACAGTTGGTTTTGGCTCCAGTTCTCCTGTTTGCCTTCTTTGGGACATCCTCGCAGCCATGTAGCTGATGGGGAGCTGAAGGCTTCTCCGTGCACCCACCCTCAGGAGCGGGGCACCCCCAGACCTCTGCTTTGATTTACTCTTGAACATCCCATTTGTGGTGTGTACCGTGGGGGTTAAGCAATGTGTGGTCTGCCTGGCCAGATGGTTTGGGTCCGAGATGTTGCAGATGAAGAGTATGCTGCTTTAGAAGTTGCTTGGACTCATGGAAGCGGAGTTCAGGTGATTTCCTCAGGGAGTGTTTGATAAGGAATGCGTCCTCGTGGGCCTTGCCCTGCAGCTGTGTGCGGCAGCAGGAAAGCACCTTCCCAAAATGAAGGGTTTGTTACAATTTATAAGGGTTTATAAATTGTCACTGGCTTTGTTCCTGTTCCCTTGGGTTCGGTATCACCTGTTGACACAGGGCCTCCTCCTGCTGTCAGTGCTCCACTAAATAACTGTTCCTGACACAGAGCTTGGCTTGTTTATAGCCTGGCCAGCCCGGGGTAGTGCCCTGGAATGCAGAAGGGCCCTACACCGCCCGTCTTCCTGCTTCTTGCCCTGTAACAATGCTCTGCAGAGCCCTCTTCCTGCTTTGAGCATCATTTCAGCCTGCAGAAGAGCCCCTTGGTGTCATTAGCTCTTGTCTGTAGCCCTGCAGAGGAAGAAAGGCTGTGCTGTGCAGTGCTTGGGGTCAGCCTCAGCACCGGGCTCTTGCTTCCTAAACCTGTGCCCTGCTGAGGGTAAGGACTGTGCAAATTGGTCTCTCCCTGGGAAGCCTTTGTGCTTCCCCTTCAAAACACAGTTCTGGCACCTACAGCTGCACAGCAAACCATCAAAGGCTGGGATTTACGAGATGGGGTCAGACCTGTCCCGTGTCTCTCTCTAGAAGCCGCACAGAGGAAGAGAGGTGGGGACCAAGTGAGCTGACACTGCCTGGGGTTTGGTTTAGCAGGTGACCAGTGCTTGTTGTCCAAAGGAGCACGAGTGGGGCTCGCGGAGGCGGCTGCAGGTGAAGATGTCCCACCCGGAATCTCGCTATTCCTTCGATGTCCCAAACAATTGCATCGACTTCGCAGCTCTGGGTGAGGAGGAGGATGATGTACCCAATGCAGACTCCTGGTTTGGTAAGTTGCTTCCAGCTCCTGGCTGGGTTTTCCCTTTGGGAGAGGGCTTGGCATGGTCCTTGTTTTGGGCCTCCTGTGCCAGTTGATTTGTCACGTTGTTCCCTGCCTCGTGCCTCATGCCTGGGGGTGGTTTTGTATTTAAGCTTTGATTGTCATCTCTACCTTGTCAGATGACTGTTAACATCCTAATGATATTGTGAGGTATTGTTAAAAGCATACAGTGAAAGCCTCTCTTTCCTCACAGACCAAAAAGCCAACCTGGAGAACATCCCTCCTGCAGGAAACCTGGCAAAAGGCTCCCAGAGCAGCCCTGCTTTTTCAAAGCCTGATATTATTCTGTCTGTCACATCACAAGAAATAACAATGGGTAAGCTGGCGTGGCATGCAGGGGGGGAAGAGATGTTACCTGCTCAGCCTGGCTTTTGTGGGACCATCTTTGTATGTTGCTGTCTAGCAAGGTCTCACATGGCCGCACTGGAGCGTTCTCCTGTGCCTGTGTATGTATGTGTACATAGGAGTTGGTGTTTGTCACTGTCCTCAGGTGAAGGCGATGGGGAAGCAGAATGTGTGCGGCCCCATGAGGCTCCTCAGAATATCATTGGATCCCTGACGAACTGGAGAGCTGCTGCTCCTGCAGAGGCCCCTCAAAGGTGAAGTACTTCTATTCACATTGATAACTGTAACTAAGCGGGTCTGTGCTCCCAGGATCTGCAGTGCTTGCTGTTCTTGGGGCATCCTGTGGGCCTGAAGCTCTTCTTCAGCAAGAGATCTTATACTGGGACATCTGATCTGCTCGCTGAGCTGGAGGGACAATCTCCAGGGTGGAAATGTAATGCAGTGTCTCACATACTCGTGAAACGAGGCTCGGCAGCACCAGGAGCTCCTGGAATGTGAGGACATCTGAAACTGAAGTGGCTTATAAAGTTTCTTTGTTTATATCTGCTGGACTTGGGCAGAACTCGTTTCTGGTATAGATGCAAGGGGTTCTCTATTCTCATATATCCTAAAGAGTATTAAGTTCATGGATTCTTAACCTGAAGTAATTAATGCTGCATTTGGGCTGTTGTGTTAAACACCCGCTTTGCATAGGGGACATGCTGGAGTTAGGTGATGCACTGATGTGAAAAGTGTTAGGTGGACCCTGTGTCTTCTCAGAGCTGTGGGAAAGCTAACCTCTGTTTTCTGTTCCCCTCTAGAGCGGGCAGAAGACAGGCCACGAGGCAGAGAAAAGCACAGCAACACACCCAGCCAGCTAGAGTCAAAGCAGAGGGAAATGCCTTGGCTAATAAGGAAGAGGTTCCACCTCCAAAGAAAAGGAGAATGTACGTCATCAGGGTTTGGGGCTGGGAAGGGGGATACAAGTGTTCCATTGGAAAGGATTTACACATGGCGAGAGGGTTCTTGCAGGAATGTTAGGAGGAGGTGACTGAAACCTGATTCCTGATGCTGGTTTCATAAACAAGAAGAAATGGCTGTAAGACCTGAAGGAAACACTATTTAGAGGTAGAGATGTGCATGAAATAAGCTTGGATTTCTGAACCTTCTTGCTGCATTGTCAGTGTCTGCCAGCCAGCTTGAAACTGGGCTTAACTTGTCCATCAGGAAGTCACTGGGCTACAGTCACAAGCTAGGAGAAAGTCACAGCCAAAATAGTTCTCAAATAAATGTAACCACTAAGATCACCCTATGGGGATGAGCTTGAGGTCACAAAACTGAACTGTGATCTTTTAACCATTGCTGGGCCTAAATGAGCTGCAGTACATCTGCCTCCTCCAGAAAAGCCACAGTTCCCATAACTCAGTAATTCATCTTGTCTTCTACAGCCCTAGGGCACCAGGGAAAACCAGGCGCTCTCTCCCGGGGCATGTGGTGAGGTAAGGCTGGTCTGGCACAGCTTGGAACTCACCAGTGTCAGGGTGGTGTGCATGGGGTGAGCACTGCAGGTGACCTTTCATTTAGAGCACACTTAAGTGGTTTGTCACAGTGAAGAGGAGGCCACTGAGCTGCTGTAAGGGCTGGAGCAGCTCTGCTCTGGAGCCAGGCTGAGAGCTGGGCTGGGGCAGCCTGGAGAAGAAACAGCTCCTTAAGGGGAGACCTTAGAGCAGCTCCAGTGCCTAAAGGGGCTCCTGAAAACCTGGAGAGGGGCTCGGGACAAGGGCCTGTAGGGCCAGGCCAAGGGGAATGGCTTTAACCTGCCCGAGGGGAGACTGAGATGAGCTCTTAGGCAGAAGCTCTTCCCTGTGAGGGTGCTGAGGCGCTGGCACAGGGTGCCCAGAGAAGCTGTGGCTGCCCCATCCCTGGCAGTGTTCAAGGCCAGGTTGGACACAGGGGCTTGGAGCAAGCTGCTCCAGTGGAAGGGGTCCCTGCCTGTGGCAGGGGTTGGGACTGGATGAGCTTTAAGATCTCTTCCAACCCAAACCAGTCTGGGATTCTATGATGACAACTGCTTACCTTTAGTTCTAGCAACAGAGAGAAGCAGGCAGAAGGATCCACCAAGAAAGAGCCCCTGCAGAATCGTGGGCCCTCCCCAGGGAGAGGGAGAAGCAAACTGACCATGCCCTCCACGCCAACCATGTTAAAGTACGTATCTTTCCTGTGTCTTGTGCTAATCACAGTTGATTTAGGTGCCAGCCCTGGCTAGGGTGTTTTCAGCTTCAACGCAGCATGTGATGGTATCACATTTAGCAAACCCCAGAGCAGGGCAAACGATGTTGGGATGAAATATACTTCACCAGCTGAACATGTGCAAAGGAAAGCTTTTGTTTCTAGCTTCAGGAGAAAGCCATTCTTGCTGATGGTGTTCATACAGCACGTGGGTGTGCAGGACAGCAGTTAGCTGTGAGCTTTCAGCTCCAACAAAATCCAGCCAGCTCTCTTCTAAAGAATGTACCTCTGTAATGATGTTCTTGCCATGAAGTCAGATCAGCATGTTCCTTGCACTAACCCCAATGTGCCAATAACCAGTGAAGTAGGAAGACATGTTTCAGCCTTTAACATCCTTCTGCAGGAGGACCAATCATTCTGGCAAGCTGAAGAGTACCGAGGAACAGGAGCTGGAAAAGATGCAGCAATTCCAGCGGGAGGTTATGGAGCTGAGGAGGAAGAATGAGGAGACTCTGAAAGCAGCCATTGCTGGAGCAGGTGAGCTCTACCTGCACTGCAGCTGTACTGGGCTGGGCTGGAGAGTGCTGCACAGAGCTGAGTGAGCACCTGTGGAAACAAACACTCCAGATGTTATGGATCTTGTAGTAAGTATTAGGAGGCTTTTAATGTAGAGCAGCCCCTAAACTGGCAAGAAAAAGGCTTGCTTGGGTTTTGTTGGGTTTTGCAAGGTTACAGATGAGCTCTCTAAAACTGTCCAAGTTCTAATTTAAATGCCCCACATGCACATTTCCCCCCTTGCCCCCAGGTCCCTCCCTCCCACCCCTTCCAGACCTTACATGTCCTTTTTCCTTTAGGACAACCCGTGAAGAGGGCTGTTGGTCAAGTAACAAAGGCAGTTGACTTCCACTTCTGCACAGAGGACAGAATTAAACAGCATGTGGAAAGCCAGCCCAGGAACGAGTACAAGGAGGTGGATTTTGCAGCAGAGCTAAGGAAGCATCCTCCCTCCCCGGTGAGATCTGGGCTCTTCCCAGCAGGCAGCTGACTCCTTTTAGACATCACCCTTTCTGCTTTTGCAACACACAAGCAAAGAGGGTGACCAGAGAAGAGGCAAGCTTTGTGCAGACCTAACTGTTAACTCACTCTGTATCTGCGTTGCCACTAAGACTCTAAAGGACCCTGTAATGTCAGATCTTTGTGCTTGTATCTTCTACTTCATACAGTTTCCCAATATGACTAGCATTTTCAGACACTTAAGTCTATATCTAATGCTGAGTGTTATCTTTTCAATAAGGGAAGGGATAGAAACTGTCAATTGACGGGGAAAGGAAATGTCATCCCAGTGTCCTGTGTGAAATGGTCATCATGACCAGCGTGTTCTGTCTCCAGATGCGGACGCTGAAGGGACCCACTATTGCCAAACCTTTCAACCTGTCCCAGGGAAACAAAAGAAAACTTGAAGAGAACACATCCGAATATGTGTCCCTTGCTGAGCAGGTGGAAGCATTCCAAAAAACCACACCCCCTCGTTACCATTTGAGGAGCAGGAAATCTGATGAAGGTGAGCAGTCCTGGCAGTGTCCAGCCAGGAGGCTGCCCACAGTGCAGGTGGTAGAGCAGCAAGGATGCTTTGATTGCTCTGCTGAGCAGTTTGTGGCTGCTCCAGGCCTTGCCATTGACTGCTGGTCCCTGTGATTTGAATTTGTAGGCCCACCTCCAGGGAAGGCTGTGAAGGCTCGGTTTACCAACCCTAAAACACCATTGCTTCTGACAAAGCAGCGCTTCAGACCTGCCACCTGCAAAACTACAGCAGAGTTAGAAGCAGAGGAAATGGAGAAACTTCAACAGTAAGTAAAGGATTATTCTAGTCCTCCGAGAGATATTTGTACCACACTGGAAACGCTTTTTTGGATGCCAAAATGCCGCTTCTCAGGAATACTCTTCTTGTGAATGAGTAGCATAAAACTATTGGGATTCTTTTAGCTTGCATAGCCCTGTGGCTGTTATAGGGATGTGAGAAGTAGCCAATTCATTCTGAAGGAAGTGCTCTTAGGAAAGCTGATCTTGGGTTGGGTACAGCTTATGACTAGTAAAGCAAACCCACGGTAGCAGGACAGCCTGCACACACTTCAAAGCTCCTTTAGACAAAGCTTTGGATTCCCAAGAACACAATCCTTAAGGTTTTCCTGAAATCTTGATGTTTCAAAAGCCAAGGAGTTGCTAACTAGAGCTGCACACTATGGAACCTGTGTGTGACACTATTCCTCCTGGACCTGCCTGTTACTCTTTCATGCTGAAGGAAGCATTTTGCTAGAAGCTGCATCTTGCCATGTACAGTGTTGTGAGTGTCTCACCTTTCCTGTGTAGGTACAAATTCAAAGCACGAGAACTCAATCACAGGATCTTTGAGGGTGGGCCACTCCTGCCCAAGAAACCCACTGTGAAGGCACTCACACAGCCCATTGGCTTTGATTTGGAGATAGAAAAAAGGATTCAGGAGCGAGAGAGTAAGAAGCAGCAGGAGGAAAAGCACTTTGAATTCCATTCCAGGCCATGTCCCACGAAAATCCTGGAGGATGTTGTGGTAAGAAGTTCGGTAATACCTAGACCTGGGAGTTGGGACTGAGGTGGCGATTGGCATCTGAATGTCCTTAGCTATGTTATGTGTTTAATAATGTGCAGTAAATGCTGCCTGTCATTAGGTAAGAACTGCTACGAGTGTGTTCTGTGCTGCTTCAGGTGGTTTCCCGGTAGTGTTTGTTCTTGGCTAACTCCTTACTGGTTCTTCTGCACAGGGTGTTCCAGAGAAGAAAGCTCTTCCTGTTACAGTCCCCAAGTCTCCAGTCTTCACCTTGAAAAGCAGAACCCGAATGTCTGGCAAAGATGAAGAAAAGGTAACGTGGGACTAAGCTGTTGTCAGGCCTCATGGTGCCACTGCAGTGACTGCTGTACCCCTGCCTGCTGGGGCTGGGGGCTGCTTTGGTCAGCCCTTGCCCTCCTGCAGGGCAGCTCCCCCAGCAGTCACCTTCCCCTGTGCTATTCCCTCTGAAGGGTGCTCCTCTAACAGGAACTGAACTCTCACACAAAATAACTCAGTTTAACCGAGGGCATTGGGGGTTTCTGGGGGGTGCTGCTGTGAATGAGGGAAGTGAACAGCTTCAGTTTCTAAAGGATGTTGCCCTTCCCTGTTGCGTTATTGAGAAGGGCAGGTATTGCACATGACCTTTCTTGTACTCACACTTCCTAGATCCCTGGAAATGGGGAGCAGGTTTCAGAATGCATTCAGTCCTTCCTCCTTTCCCTCTTATAGAATCATAGAATGGTTAGGGTTGGAAAGGACCTTCAGATCATCTAGTTCCTCTTGTGAGGAGGATGTTGGAGTCTAATTTAGGTAAGTACTAGAACTGATAGTGGATTGGAAAGAAGAGGTTGTCTATGGTACTTTCGGGAGTAGTAATTCTCCCAGTGGCCAGAGTGCTTGCTTGGTGCTGCTGTGACACTGGTTAAAGGAGCTTGAACATTCGTGGCTTTGTTTGGCAGGACTTGCAGTCTTCCTACAAATACAATCTGGTGCTGTGTCAGATCCTAACGCTAAAATCCCCTTAGGAAAAAGAAGAGGTGCCCGTGATCAAAGCCAACCCCATGCCACATTATGGAGTGCCCTTCAAGCCTAAAATGCCAGAGCAGAGGCACGTGGAAGTTTGCCCCTTCTCTTTCGACGCCCGTGACAAGGAGCGGCAAATGCAGAAAGAGAAAAAGATGGAAGAACTGCAGAAGGAAGAGGTGAGAACTAAAAGCTGCCCTGGATCCCATCCCTTAAACGATACAGACGTGCAGGACTTGCCTCTTGCTGTCGTCTGTTAAGCTCCCAAAGCTTCGTGCCTTTGAGGAAAGGGCAGGAAACATTTCAAGGTGTTTCTGTCAGGTGCCCAAGTTCAAAGCGCTGCCTCTGCCCTACTTTGACCACGTGAAGCTGCCAGAAAAGAAGGTCAAAAAGCCAACTCAGCCTGAGCCCTTCAACCTGCAGGTGGATGAGCGGGGAGCTGCCAAGCTCCAGAGCTGGAAACAGCAGGTAGGATGGGAAGGGTGTAACGGGGTGACCCGGCTTAACGCTGGTGGAGCTGTAATGGACTTCAGAAGTTGTCCTGCTTGAGGGGGGGTGAGGAGCTGAGCTTGAGCATGAGGCTTGTGCTATGGGTTAAGGATTAGTGGGTTCTTTTGGGGTGTTTTTTCTCCCTTTATGGTAAGTGATGGGATTTCCTGCAGCTGGATCCCTGTGACCATCTTGGGGATTTCTTGACATATAAGTACCACATTGCTCTTCTCATGTGAAGCCTGCAGTGGACTCCTGAAATTTTCTTCTGTTTTCAGGCTATTTTTGGCAAAAGTAACTGGCAGGAACAAGTGATGCAACTTGTTAGCTTTAATACAATTTTACATGCAAATGACTTGATCCAAATCAAAGTGGCTTTTCCAGTGTTGGGAGTGCTGATGGGCAGGGGTCTTCCTTGCTATAGCTGGCACTTGATGGGCTCTTTTCTCTTGCAGCTTAAAGACGACTTGAAAAAGCAGAAAGAGGCAGCTTGTTTTAAAGCTCGTCCCAACACAGTGGTGTACCAGGAGCCTTTTGTGCCCAAGAAGGAGAATAAGTTGTTATCAGGTGCAGTACTTGCTACATTGGCTTGGCTGGTAACTCATGCAATTAAATGATGTTTAGACTGGCTGTTGCCTCTTTATCAGCACAACCAGTAGTGCCTTGCACTTAATCAACTAATTCCCTAACAGCTTGTGTCCCCAGGGAGCGGGGGAGTTTCCTCTCTGCTGCCCCTGTCCTGCAGTAACCTGGCAGCCGTATTTAGCAGCTATGCTGCAATTGGGGGGTGATTGATGTGTGCCTGCTTGGGAGAAGGGTAAATAGCGTGTGAGGAGCTCCCTGTGGGGACAGCTGGCATTTCTGCAGCAGCTGTCAGTCTTTTCCTCCCATCTCTAATGAGATGAAGGCATCTACACCATGGGGTAGACTAAACTTTGTAGGGTATAAACCAGCCCAAAGCTTGTTTGTACTAACAATTGTGTGTGCTTGCTCCCTCCTACGAGAACACCCATGATGGGGTAATGTCTGCAGTAACACTGCTGGAGGTATCTACTAACTACCCTTGCAAGGTGAAGCGCTCCAGAGGGAGGCTTCCATGACACTAGTACTGCTTTGCTTTTCCTGACTGCCTTTGCACCAATGTTATCTCCTCTATTTCTAAACTTAGAGAGCCTTTCTGGTTCTGTAGTTCCTGAAAGCTTTGAGCTGGCAACAGAAAAAAGGGCTAAAGAGCGGCAAGAGTTTGAAAAGTACTTGGCAGACAAAGAGGCCGTAAAGGAGAGGCTTCAAGAGAAGGTGAAACAGGAGCAAGAGGAGCGTGAGAAGGAAGAAGTTGCTAAGTTAAGGCAAGAAATGGTAAGTGAGCTGTTTCTGAACAGGAGCTGTAGAGTAACCCACGGGGGTGTGTGAATAGGATAAATGAACTAATGTCAATGTGGAGCTGCCTTAAGACTCTTCTAAGGTTCCCTGTTACAAACTGACTCCTTGTTAACTTTACAACTGGTCTTAAACAGACCCAAAAGGCAGCTCTGCTGCGGTGACTGATTTCTGGAGCTGTACCCATTGTCACTGGAGCAGATTGATCTCTGCAATCCACTGCCCCGAAACTGCTCTGTGTGTTCCTGGTCACTGCCTCCACTGCTACTCACCTGCAGGGTTCAGCTTCATCACACCTCAGCAGTGGCCTTCACTTCATCCTCTCTTTCTGGTTCCACAGGTTCACAAGGCAAACCCGATACGCAGATACCGCAGCTTAGAAGTGAAGTCCAGTGAGCAGCCACTGACCATGCCGAAGTCTCCCAACTTCTCGGATAGATTCCGGTGCTGATTCACATCCATGTGATGGCAGGAGGGAGATGCCATCTTTCTCTGCTCCCTTGGTAGAGAGGGAACAGTCGTTCTTATGTGGCTGCTCAGTCTCAACCTCGTTCCATTAGTGTTCTCTCGAGTAGTTCACCTCCACCTGAGGCACAGCAACTGGCCCTGCCACACGGCCTCACTTCATCTCCCCACCTCTTGCTCTCTAAAGACTAGACCAGGTTTTGGTCTTGTATGCAGATATTGTGTACCTGAACTAAATAAAACTCCCAGCCTGCTGGCTCACTCTTGCTAGTGGGCTGAATCCCTCTCCTGCAGAAGAGGTTTTGGTATCTTGCTTGTGTGTATCTGGAGGAGCTGCCTTTGTACATCTGTTGGTTTCAGGTGTCTCTTTCTGGGTTTTTGGTTTGTATTAAGCTTGATTTGTGTTCAGCAATGTGGGGCTTCTGCAAGCCAGCATATTGTAGGTCTGACCTTTCGTGTTGATGTTTATGTAGATGAGCACTAATGTGAATCTTGCCCACATTTTATAGTTCTCTGTGTATGCAAATATTAAACCTTCTCCTGTTTTAGAGCTGAAGTCATTCTATTTGTGGAATTGCCTCACTGGCAAATGACTGCCTGAGAGCTGCCTCCCTGGCTCCTGCCAGGGCCCTTCTCTTGGCTGAATAAACGTCATCTCCTCACCAGTCTAGTGCAGCCAGAACTAAATATAGACCAAGTGCTCTGATGGGCTGGAGGGCAGAGCTTCCAGCATTGTGGAGAGGTGATCAAACTTAGATTAAAACTTACTAAGGATGGTTCTTTACCTTGTAAAATTGGGTTTAGGCCTTTCCTTGGACTTGTCTTAGCAAGAATGATAACTCCAAAAGGCTGAGGGAGGGCAAGAAAGGGGTTAGGGGTACATCAGAATGATGATCTTGGATGATGCTGCTGCCCACTGTTGTGCCTGTTTTGCTGTTACTGTTCTGCTAACATGGTGATGGTGTGGTCCAGAAGGGGACTTGCAGGAGAAGGCTGGTGTGGCAGGTGCTGGGAGCTGTGCTTTAAGCTGTCAGCAGGAAGGAGGGGAGCAGGCTCTCTGGTTGAGGCTTGGATATGTGTAAGGCTCTCGGGGCTGGCCTGGCAGCCCAAGGAGCAAGACTGGAGCAAGAGGAACTTGTAATGATGCTCTTCTGGAAGCAAAGACCTGTGGGCTCACCGCAGGGGTGGGGATTGGCCCTTGTTCTGCCTTCACCTTCCTGGCACAGTGGAGCTGCTCCGTATCATCTGCTGCATGGGGACATCGCAGGACCTCAATGGTGCAGTCAAGGAGCCTGCTGCAGCCTCGAGTGCCAGCGCCAGGAGCAGCACGTACCTCTGGTGAGTCAGGAAAGCCTCGGTGATGATGAGCTGGGGAAGAATGCGAAGGCAAGCGAGAGACCAAGGCTGCTGAGCTGGAGCAGATGCCAACCCTGCGAGGATGGAGCAAGGATTTCCGTGATGGCCCTACATGGCCTCTGCCGCAGCCTGAGGAAGGCTTTGTGTGCCTGACAGCTTGTCTGTGGTTCCCCAGCCGTCTCATGGGGTCTAATAAAAGGCATTACCTCCTCCTGCAAACACGGCCTCCTCTAGTCCTCAGCCATGGGGGCTGCTCTGCCCTACAAGGGTATGGGGCACTGGGGTTTGCTCTCTGGGGTCACGCTGTGGCTCTCATGGGCGTCAGTGTAACCTGTCCCCTGGGGGGGGAAAGTGCTGACGTGCTGGAAAAGTGCTCCAGTGAGGAAAATGTAAAAGATGGGGTCCTGGAGGAGCTGAACGTCAGGGTTTGGTTGAGGCTTCAACAGGGCCATGGGGGCAGGAGCCATTCCCAGACCCAGGGGACTATAAATGGGAGAGTAATGGGCCAGGGCTGGGGTTTCAGAGCGCCGCTTCGGCACAGGCCCTGCGGCCAGGGCAGCCTGGCAGATGTGTAAAACCCATATTGCTGGGTGGGTTGTGCAAAACCATTCCTGTGTTCAGGGCTCACATCTCATCACCTCCCTGAGGGTGATTTAAGAGCAAGTGGAGCTGCAAGGGGGGGATGACCCAGGAGAGCTGGAGCTGGGGATGGAGTCTTCCTCTGATGCCTTTATAGTTGTGTTGTTACCGAGGTGATTTGAGCTTGGCCTAGAGCTGGAGCTAAGAGGCAGATGATGTTTCCATGGGCTTACATGCTGAAGGGTGGCTGAGCAGGGCGCTGATCTTATCAGCTGGTGAATGGGGTTTCTATGGGAAGCTTTGATGCTGCTTGCTTTGCTTCTCGCCTCTCCCCTGGGTTACCCTGTTGGCTGCCAGCGTGGCCTGGCACGCCGTGGACAGGTCCTGGTGCTTTGGATCCGTGCTGGCTGCTCCTTGCTGTCGCCGCAGGGCTCTGGAAGCTCTTTTGCTGTGGTTTTTCCATGTCTTTCCCTCTCCCCTCAATGGGCCTGATCCCAGCCCAGGGGCAGCTCTGCCGGGGAAGTCCTTGGTGCTGAGGGCAGCGGCGCGGTGCCGCTCCGCTGCCCCGGGGCCGGGCTTGGCTGGGCTCCGAGCGCCGCGGCCGGGGCTCCGGTGGGTGCTGCTCTCGATTTAGCCGGGTGTTGGGTTTCCCGGGGCCGGGTGCGCTCGAAGCTCCCCGCAGTGCGAGCAGAAAGGTTAAAGAGCGCTGCTGGGTTGTGGCAACCCCGTCGCTAGGGAGCCGCGGGCTTGATGCTGCGCCAGGGCGGCCGGGACGGGCTGGGTGCCAGCGGCAGCCAACGGGGGACTCTGGCTGAAGCTCGTGAATGGGGAGGGCAAAGAGCCCGGCCCCGTTCTGAGAAGCCCCGGTGGTGGCTGGGTTTGGCCCTGGGCTCTGCAGAGCGCTGCAGCACCGGTGCTGTGCGCTGCGGTGAGCGAGGTTTGATGGACCAAGGCGTCCGAAATCCCGGTGTGCAGCAGCTCCTGCCCTTCGCTGCACATCCGTCTTTGGGGATGGTTTTCGGCTTGTTTCTCTCTACCCACCAATGGGTTTCATCTCGTAACAGCAGGACGCTCATCCTTCATGCGTGTACCCTTCGAAGAGCCATTCCTATGGCTCCCCAGTACGCTGCATCTGCTCTTGCTTTGCTTCCTCCCCTTGTCCCAAGGCTTCGCACCTAGACGCCAGCCCTGGTGTGTGCGTAAGGCTGCAGGTGCCCTGGGAAGGCTGGTGGCTTCCAGGCAGGTCCTGCTCTCCTTGGGGGATTTTATCCCAGCTCCTGCTGAGTGGATGTGCTCCTTCCGCCCAGGATTAGCTGGGGGAGTGTGGAGCAGTGGCAGCGTTTGCCTTGAGTGACATTGGTGGCCTCCAGGTGCCTGGCAGCTCTGGGAAAGGTGATTCCAAACTGTATGCTGGCGATGACAGTCAGTGGGCAGAGGCCCCGAGCATGGCGTTAGCCGGTCATTCCCCTGGCATTCCCTGTGGTGGCCAAGCTGGGGGGGGCTCCTGCTTGCCACTGGAGCAGTGCCTGCGCTGGGAACAGGCACTGCGGGCGCTGCCATCCCTGAGTGCTGCAGGTGCTGGTGATGCTCCAGCCTCTGCATGTGCACAATTGCATTGGTGCTGCTGGTTGGAGCCGTGTGCCTGCTCGCTGCTGCTTCCCATCACATTCCAGGTTCTGTCCCTGGTCTCGGGAAGAAGGAGGCTCGTTACCCCCAGTGTGGAGCTGGGCTCCTTGAAGCAGCAAATCTGAGCTGTGAGGGCTGGAATAGGGGAGCCCAATGTCTGCACCACTCTTAGGATGCTGCCACCGCCTGTGGTGGTGGCCACGCACGAGTCCCGGGGGGGAGCAGATGGGCTCAGGGTCTGGCAGGACTTGAGCTCCATGTGGCTGCGGGACAGAGAGCTCTGGAGGAGCCCCCAGTAATTCCAGCCTCCCTGGGGGCACCGGGAGCTGCTTTCGCTGCTTTGTCACCATCCCTGAGCCCCGGCCTCCCTGTTCCCCCCAAGGGGAGCACCATTGCAGTGAGGGGCTGAGCCCTTCCTGCTGCAGCCGTTCCTGCTGCCCTGACATTGATAGACGAGGTCCTGGGTTTTTAATAGTGGGTATCACTGGAGAGCTTCCCCTTGCAGCACTGGGTCTGGTTACCAGGGGTTCCTCCTGCACCCCCTGCATGCCTCCACCCCAGCAGCAGGCAGCTGCCTGCATGCCCTTGTGAGCAAGGGTTTCCTCACCTTAAGGATCCAAGGCTTAAATTGGGCTCCGCTGAGTGGGGAACCTGGGGTAGCCCTTGGACTCCACCAGCTTCAGCGCCCTCCGTGGCCATGGCCCTGCCTTTGCCCAGCTTTATTTGTGGCCACTGCAGCCCGGGCATGGGGTAACCCATGGTGCCCCCTCCCCAGGGGTTTTCCATGCCCGGTTTCTGCACTGCCAGACCATACCCTGGGGTGCAGCAGCACCTTCAGCTGGGGCTGGTGATGCCTGACCCCTTCAGGAGCCCCCGCTCCTTTGTTTCTTCTCCTAATCCCCAAAACTCTTCATTCTGCAGGAAATCAGTGTCTTTCAGGAGGTTCCAGAGGATGCTGCCACTGGCGAGTGCCCAGTTCCCAACTGCTGTCAGTTCTGCTCCAGGGACCTGTGGCCATGCCCTTGGGTGCCACATTGTGCTCCTGGAGCTGCCTTCCCAAAGGGCTGATGCCCGGCGGGACCGAGCTGGCCACAGCTCATTGCCCGGGGGGCAGCGCTGTCAATGCTCGCTCCCAGCTGCCATCCCCAGGGGTGGGCAGTGGCCACCTTGTGTGGAAGCCCTTGGCTGCTTGGGCTGTGTCCGTCCCAGCCGGGCCACCCCAGGGGATGTCGCGGGGCGCTGCGGGGCCGGTGCCTGCCCGCCCGGGGGTGCTGTGCGGGGCCGCCCCCCGCAGCGAGGCCGCGCATCCCGGCCCGCGGGGCAGGGCCGTGTCCTTTGAACGGGCTCCAGCGCGACAGGTGCTGGGAAAGGGCCGGCTCCCGCTGCTGTAACGGATCCTCCTCTGCCCGCGCTAATCCGGCTCCGTTACACCCGGCATAGAAGAGGCTGCTCCCTCCCGGCGCTGCCACAGTGCGGATGCTGCCGTCCTGACCGCCCTCTGCACCGGCACAGGTAAAAGGGCCGGGAGGGGTCCCTGGGGCACGGGAGCCCCCAGCCAGGGAGGAAAGGCTCCATCCCCGCTCTGAGCTGTGGGTCTGCTCCGCCAGAGACAGCTCTGCTTTAGCTCCTGTCCCTGTCAGACCAACGAGTGCCTCCCCTCTTCCTGCGGTCGCTGGTGGGCTTGTCCTGGGTCTGTGCTGGTCTCCGAGTGGTTGCACAGGCAGCGCAGGGGGTGTTTTGGGGCAAG